AGATATTATGACCAACTTAGGTTCTTGCTGAGGGCTAAAGGAATATGGAATGATTAACGTAAGAAAAAAATGCAGCTATGACCATGGTGCCATATATAAAAACAAGGAATGGCTCCATATTAGACAGAAGCACAATTTTGCTTTTCTTTTTATTTAAAAAGTTAAACATGATTAAGAGGTGTGCATAGCCCGGCCGGCGTGGCTCGGTGGTTGAACATCGCCCTATGAACCAAGAGGTCATGGTTCAATTCCCAGTCAGGGCACATGCCCAGGTTGTGGGCTTGACCCCCAGTGTGGGGCCTGCAGGAGGCAGCTGATCAATGACTCTCTATCATTGATATTTTTATCTTTCTCTCCCTCTCCCTTCCTCTCTGGAATCAATAAAATTATATTTTTTTAAAAACAGAGGTGCATAGATGCTGAGTTGATAAAGGATTGACTATAGTGGTTTTGTACTTTGCCAACTTGGCTAACAAAGCTTGAACTAGGTTTCCCCTAACCCCTTCCCTAGTCTGGGTTGGTTGGCCAAAAGGAGAAATCTGCCCAAGATCTGGAAAGTGAAAAGGGAACCAACTGCTATGTTGAAGTTAACTGTGATTAGAGATGGTAAGAGACATCATTACGGGTCTGGCTTGTCCTCTCTCTCCCCTGCCCCATGTCCAGTGCATCCGACTAATAGAGACCAGTGTAGAGACAACAGCCTTATGCTTCATCTACTCCCCTTTGGTGTGGTCCCACTCCATCAGGAAGATTTGAAATTCTGACCAACTCCATGGGAAGCATGGATTTGTCTACCCCTAACAGTGCTTCGGAAGAGGTAGCTGGTGATATTTTTCTGATTCTCTCAGTTTTAGACTCTTACTCATCCAGCTTCTCCCACAATTGTGTTAAGATCTTAGTCCTATAATAAATCCCTTAATTCCCCAATATTTATAGTGGTTCTGTTTGCCAGACTAAACCCTGACCAATAAACCATGTTTTCCAGACAACACTTTCTGCCCCTGTCGACATCTTCTGTTTGGATACTATAGCTCACCTCCTTCCTTCAAGTCAGAAAAGAGAACTTTTGGGAGAGAAGTTATAATCACAATTTCTGCTTATGAGGAGCTCATTTTTATTGTTGTAGGTCTGTGCCATCTAGCCATGGAAATGAGTGATCATGCTTGTCTCTGACCATGGAGAGGATATGATGATGAAAAAAAAATACTAACTAAAAAATGACATGTTGGCCCTGGCCGGGTAGCTCAGTTGGTTGGAGTGCTGTTCCATACACCACAGAGGTGGCCGGTTCAATTCCCGGTCCGGCATATACAGGAGGCAACTGATCAATGGTTCTCTCTCTTCCTCCCTCTCTAAACTCAAAGATTTAAAAAGTTAATATAATTAAATTACATTACAAATAAAGGTAATAAATACTCTAAAGTCACGAGTTCCTAATTATTTCACTGCATTTTATTATTAATCTATGTTCTTGGGGTCATATTTTTTTCTCTATTGTATCCATAGCTGGAAATTACAGTTGCATGCTACCACATTTCTTCCTAATTCTACATTCAATGATGTCATGTTAGCAGTTTGAAATTAGTCGTTAACAGTATTTACACCACAGCTATAGGCAAACTCTACAAATCTGGATTTCATAGACTAAGGAAAGTTTCAGGAAAATGGTGATCAGAAAGAATGCCAGGGGAGTTCTAAAGATAGTTAAATACACAAGGTTTGAATAGAACAATGTTCATTCCCTAACCGGTTTGGCTCAGTGGATAGAGCGTTGGCCTGCAGACTCAAGGGTCTCAGGTTCGATTCCGGTCAAGGGCATGTGCCTTGGTTGCAGGCACATCCCCAGTGGGGAGTGTGCAGGAGGCAGCTGATCGATGTTTCTCTCTCATGGATGTTTCTCACTCTCTATCCCTCTCCCTTCCTCTCTGTAAGAAGTTAATAAAAATATTTTTAAAAAAAGAATAATGTTCATAGAGACATTGATACGAAACAGGTAGGAAAGGTAGACTGGAACAAGACTGAAACAGGGAGAAACGGCAGGCTGTAAAATGACTGGGACTTACAGCAAAGGTCTTTCTAAGACAATGGGGAGCTACTGAAGGTGTGAGGCAACAGTGTATAGCAGGGGTCCTCAAACTTTTTATTTTTTTATTTATTTTTATTTTTTTAAAATGTATTTTATTGATTTTTTACAGAGAGGAAGGGAGAGGGATAAAGAGTT